ATTCAACATCTCAATCCTACCAAGCATAAAGGAATAAATACATGAGGTTTCGAAGGAAAATAATGGAAAACCATCAAGACTAAATTCGACGAAAAAAATCAATATTTTTAATCGAGAGTCGAATGTGCGAAAACAAAATATTAGCCGGCCATGCACCTTCTAGAAATTGTTAATACAAAATTGAATGATCATTATAGTTTCGAAATAATAATTTTGAACTTTGTGTGCAGACGTACGTTGATTTCACGTTTTTTCAACGTTAAAATACTGAAAAACATGTTTTATTTGAAGTTTCAACGTTAAAAATATGTTTTAACGATGAAATGATACAAAATTGTGATATATATTTTCTTCTAAGCGTCGATTTATCCTCTGTTCAACGTTGAATTCTCGAAATACATTCTTTAACGTTGATTTTACGTTTGTTTCACGTTCAACGAGTGAAAAACATCCAAGTATTCCATTCTACGTTGATTAAACGTTCGATAAGTTGATTCATCTTACGTACGTACCACTCGTTGAAGTTTCAAAATAAATACTATGAGTTTCGAAACTATTAGATATCTACTCTACTGTATGTCGAACTGAATCAAATCCTGAGTGATAGAATGGCATTGACATCTTTATCATCAGAACACGATTCCCATGTGATACTGATAATTCGACTCGATCAACAAAAAATCAATTTTTTTTTAGATAACAGATACTGTGTAAATCAAATTTTTGTTAAGAGTCGAATGCACTGTGGAGAAAGAGTTGCCACAAAAATGGTAGTTGAAAGAAACTGCATCTCAATAAAGCGTACAAAGATCATACCAACGTCTTACATTGGGCAAACACGTTGAAATGTTGGAACACGATTCGAATAACACACCTTTCACTAAAATGAACACCAACAAAAACCTCCAAACTCGTAATTGGACTTCTTGAATTTGTTTTCGGTATGTTTAAAATAAATTTCGAGCTATTTTTACTTTGTGAAATATTTCTAAAATATCCTCTGGATACGATTGACGTTTTTGTTCAAACCCGATTGAATATATGGTCTTTATATTCTTTTTATATTAAAAGTGCAAAAACAAACGATTACTACTCAAGCATCATTAAATAGAGTAAAAAGCAAGCGGTTATTCACAATACCGGGAGTGTATAATTTGCTGACCAAAATTAAAGTATGCTGACCGAGTATTTCTGATTCGAATTTTCTCTTCAAACTGCATATTTGAATATCTTATATAGATATATAGATGCCACCAGTGGAATTATTTCGATCCACCCCTTCAGAGGGGTAGTTCATTCCTGCTGTTTTTCGAAAATACTTGCTGACCGAGCATTTCTGGTTTCTATTTTTCCATCAAATCACATATTTGGATAATTCATATAGATTAATAAATGCCACCAGTGGAATTAACTCGATCCACCCCTAAAGCGGGTGATTTTATGGAAAAATCGGATCGGATTCTTGAAAAACTGCGAGAATAAACTACCCCTCTGAAGGGGCGGATCTATACAGGGTGGCCCACGGTCGATAGTACCTTAGACGTATACGGAAAACGGTACATTGGATTAACCTGAAAATTTGGTTACTCTAATAAGCGTTTGTGATCTAACGATTCAAAATATTTTCAGCGATGCAGCGTTGCCACTTTTACCAAAAAGTAGCATCATCTTTGTTATTTCAAATGGAATACCCGGGATTTCATTGCGTTTTTAGATTCTTCTCGAAGAGCTGATTTCATCAATGCATCACACTTGGGGTCTAGCAGGAATTATTACAGAGATATAGGGTGTTCAAAATCGAGATTTTTCAATTTCAGGAATTTTTTGTGTCGAAACTATTCATTATCGATCAAAACGGCTTACATGTCCCTATCTTAACTTTTGATTCACTATCTACTGACATTCAATTGGAACAGATACAGGGTGATCAGAATTCTGAATCTTGGACCATCCTGTATTTTTTCCAATTAAATGTCGGTAGATAGTTAATCAAAAGTTAATATAGGGACATGTAAGCCGTTTTGACCAATGATGAATAGTTTCGACAAAAAAAAATCCTAAAGTTGAAAAATCTCGATTTTGAACACCCTATATCTCTGTAATAATTCCTGCTAGACCCCAGGTGTGATACATTACAAAATACAGGGTGTCCCATTTGAAATAACAAAGATGATGCTACTTTTTGGTAAAAGTGGCAACACTGCTTCGCTGAAAATATTTTGAATCGTTAGATCACAAACGCTTATAAGAGTAACCAAATTTTCAGGATAATCAAATCCAATGTACCGTTTTCCGTATACGTCTAAGGTACCATCGACCGTGGGCCACCCTGTATATTCATATAGAATATTCAAATATATTTGAAGAAAAAATTCGAACCAGAAATGCTTGGTCAGCATACTTCAATAGTTTTGGTCAGCAAATTATATTTCCCCATACCAAGATTACCACACCAAAATAAACGTTAAAAAAGACGAAGATGACAGGTTAATAATGAAAGTAAAAAAAAAAAATATTCTGAAGCTTAACCTACCTGTAAACTCATCCTCCCATTCTAAACCAGGATTAAGATTGTACTCGTCTTGATAGAAAAAGAATAATCAAATATTAGGATCGGAATGCTAGACCAGAATAATATTAATTCTACATTTTTGACTGCTATTCTCTATTCTTTGTCGTTCGACAAAATTGTAGAATTGAATAAACAGTGATTTCGTCTAGCAATAAAAATAATCGAGTTTAAATTTATACGCACTTCAAATGTAATATCCACGACATAATTTAGTACCATTTGAAATGTTGTAACAACATTGTCTTTGTATTGTATCATTGGATTTCTAGGCCTGATAAACTCAAAAAACAGAATCTGACTACACAAAAATATACTAATAATGAAGTATGAGGAATAGCTACCCAATGATGACACTTTGAAAAAACTCAACGAAATTATGCAGCTAAAAAAATTCAAATGGATATAATTTTCATTTTATTAGTATACTACATTTTTGTCATGCTGTTATTGGCTGTTAAGTTGTGATTAGTATAAAGCTTCTTTACAACTCACGATTAAAAAACAATCCGTCGACTAAATTTCGAATACGGACCTGGTACGCGTCAAAATTTTCTATTTACACAAAAAAGCTGTTACCACATGTGCGCCCGGATCCCAAAAAACAACAGAAAAACGTGTGCATGTCCAAAAGCTAGGAGAAATTCGGATAGCTGTTTTCCCAGAAAGACCAATTTACATAATGACATACCTAGTCTTGACAAAAATCGGGTAAAGAAAACGAACACTTGGGTATGAAATGGAAAGGATAACTTTTTATGAAGCGAAATATTCTGATTCATTCCATAAAAAAATTGTACTTTTTTATCTTGGTTTTCAGAGCTCTCATATTTTTTTCAAAGAGGTTATAATTTTTAAGAAAATAATATGAAATGGTCAACAGCAAAATAATATTTAATTGAAGAAAATGTAATTAGTTTCAGTTACTGAGGAGTAATAATGTGCCTGAAAAGTTTTCACAAGGTTATTTACAATGAAATTATTGGAGGAAATAGAAAAATGAACTAAGCTCGTAATTTTGTGTAGGTACAGGGTGTCCCACTTAAATGTGCCACCCTCCTCTATTCTCGTCATTCCCAACATATTTTGGTCATTCAAAAACTTTTCTGGAATATTTATCTACAGATTTTTCGAATCTGTGCTTACTTTTTCATTTTATAAAAAAAATTTTTTCTCAAATGAGATGATCTATGTTTTTTCCATAATTCGAAAGCCGTTTTGACCGATAATTTCGTCACAGGAAAATCCTAAAGTTGAAAAATCTCGATTTCGAACACCCTATATCTCTGTAGTCATTTCCGCTAGACCCCAAGTGCAGTGGCGGCTCCTCAGAGGAGGCAACGGAGGCTGAGTCTCCTCAGAGATTTTACTTAAACTAATATTATCAATACTTTCTCATTAAGAGGACACCAAAATACATGGATTTTGATTTTATTTCCTGTTTTTAGTTAAATATTTTTGAATTGGCAACAGTGCTTGCCCACGCATCACACGTTGAAGTCTGCAAATCACGCGTAAAATATTCAACTTGGCAACATCTATAAGAGGCTATACTCCTTCACAACGCGCAACCCACGCGCGCAATGCAAATGCCCGAATAGCACGGGTATGTCGTGTCGCTTCGCAAATTGCGGACAAACGCGAGTGCATTGTTTATGTTTATGTTAGGTTAATGGTTAGGGGCTCTATGAATTTCTGAAAAATGAGTGTTTTAAACGATTGCGATTTAGTGGAATACTTTTTGGTGAACCCATTCAGTGCTTTGTTTTATGAAGATAAATTGATTGTGAAAAACAAACGTCCGACACCGGAATCAAAAAATCTGATTGTAACAGGTAACAAACAAAATCGTTCGTTCAATTCTGATAATTATAAAAAATATATCTGGTTGACGGGATCTGAGGTAAGGAATAAGCTATTTTGAGTGAGTGGAGAGTTGTTTTTCACAATAAATCTCATAAAATTCAGCCTCCTCTGTCATGAAAGTCACGAGCCGCCACTGCTTAAGTGTGATACAATGATTTAAAAATACAATGAAAAATAGGCTGTTCCATTTGAAAAAATCAAATAGTACCCTGTAGATCGTTTGTTCCGAGCACCCTGTATTTTCTGATGTAGCAGACAAGAAACTTTATCGGAAATCATTTGAGATGATTTTTCAAATTTTGAAATCGGTTCCATAATAACTGAGCTAGAGGAGGGGGGGGGACATTTATGGTTAATCACCCTGTACTTACATCTCAATTGGTTAAGTTTTATGTAGTTGATCAAGCTTCTCATTTTCTGAAAACAGGGGGGACAAAATAAAACGAAAGCTCTGAATAAAAAAAATAACAATTTTTTCTCAGATCGGTATAATATTGCGCTTCATAACAGAACACCGGAAATGGATTCTTACTAAAGCTTATGAGAAATAATATTATCAACTTACCGTAATAATCAGTTGCATGTGCTGAGAGAGAGGGATAAAAAAATAGTCAATTAAACTATTCGAGAAATTGTCGTTTTGGTAAAGTACACTAGAAATATTTCGAAATGGCCCCAAAAAATTGTCTAGCTCTTTCCAAATCCTATTTCTCCCAAGAATAACCTGTCACAATTTATGTCTCCGGTCTAAATTGAAAATAGACATTATGGAAAATAACTGAATTATTGAAAAATCTGAAAACTGTACAGGGTGCGCCTCCTAAACTGGAATCCCCCCTTCCCCATAACTCTTTCGTTTTCAGAGATATGAAAAAATGTTATATGAAAAAGTTGTGTCAAACGACCAAAACTTTCATTTCGTGAAGTTGTTTTATATACAGGGTCATTCGTTTTGCCACAAAGGATATCAACTTTGATTCATTCAATTGAACACCCTATATAATTTTCAACATGTCGATAGAGCCTTTTTCCTGATTTCAAAAATATCTAAATAATAATAATAAATTTACCAAAATACCGCATTATGAACCTTCACTTCATAAGTTGAATATAGTGGGCTTTGAAATAACGTTTATAGATTGTTCAAGCTCCATGGAAGTATTGTTTATTATGAATTTGAAATCGTTCAATCTCAATACAAGAAAATATGAATAGACAATTTGAATAGAAGATTCGGTATTTTGGTAAACTTTGATCAATAACTCAATTATTTTTCATCCAAATATGCAACACATATACAGGGTGGGGCATTAGTGCGTCGGAGCTCAATTGCTCGAGTTCTATGATAGCTAGAAACCTGATTCAAAAACGAATGTGAATAAGATAACATGATAATCGGAATGCCCAGTATATTTGCATATTTTTTGAAGCATCCCTGTGATCTTCATCCACTCCTATAATATCGTTGACTATATCTCTTTCGTATCAAAGTTATGAATTTTTTGGTCGAAATAATGTCATCTGCAGATGCCTACCGAAAATATCACTGTTGTCACAATTATAGACTTTAAGAAAAAATAATCTCAATATCATTTATTGAAAAGACGAGTGACACTTTTGAAAATGTTTCAGGCTCTCAACTGATACAGGGTGGCTGAAAATAATTTTTCAATTCGGAACTTTTCGAAGTGATTTTTCTCGAGTTTTTCAAATGGAACACCCCATATATTATTTGACAATTTGATGTAAAATCGAAACACGAACATATTTATTCGATACACATTCTAATCTGTTATTGAAACATCAAAAGTTCAATCAACAATTTAGTAAACCAATTTTTTATTGAAAGAATCGATGTCAGAACCAAAGCAGACATGAATAGGTCATAATTATGCTGAATATTTACAAAGTAGAGACGGAAAAAATTTCATTTCTCAATTATTCTGGTTTTGCTTTCAATGTGCCATGAATTTATGGGATACTTGAGAAATGCAAATTTTGTCTCTTTTTACTTTGTGAATAACTAGCATATGAACTTTTTCTGTTTGCTTCGATTCTGGTATCGATTCTTTCTTTGAAAAAATTGGTTCACTAAATTAATAATTGAACTTTTGATGTTTTAATGACAGAGATAAGAATCTGAATCGATCAAAATCGCCAACCTATAATTTTCAAAGTTCAATAATTCAAAAACAGGGACACAGGGATGCTTCAAAAAATGTGCAAATATACAGGGCATTCCATTTAAAAAAAATGATCCCGACCCTCTAAGATTATTTTTGGTGCGCCCTATATATGCGGCAATAATTTCTAGTTATGGAACTTGTTGTCTCATTCACATTCGTTTTTGAATCAGGTTTCTAGCTATCATAGATGTCGAGCAATCGAGCTCCGACGCACTAATGCCCCACCCTGTATATTTTTGAGATCAGACGAAAGGACTCTATCGACATGTCAGAAAATATATAGGGTGTTCCATTAAAGAAATCAAAGTTAATGTCCTTTCCGGAAAAACGAATAACCCTGTATATGAAGCAACTTCACGAAATAAAAGTTTGGGTCGTATCAAACAACTTTTTCATTCAACATTTTTTCACATCTCTGAAAACAAAATAGGGGTCCATTTCAAGAGGGGCACCCTGTACATAAAAATCCACGAAACATTGTTATTCATACATTCTTTCAACATTTATCATACTGTTTTGACAAACCCTAAGGAACTTTTAGCTCAATGGTTTCAAGTTTTTAAAATAGCACCTTATGCCCTTAGATAAGAACCTTGAATCCACATCAACATGCAGATCTAAAAAATCCGGGTGTCAACGAATCTATTAGACAAGTCATATCTTCTAGACCATTAGGTGTATCAAAATAAGATTTGGTATAGGTAAATGGTATGTGAAGAGGAGAGTTTTCACATATTTTTCACTTCCCGGTCACTTCCGGTTTCACCGGAAATGGCTCCGGTTCTAAATTTTTAAATGGAACACCCTGTATATTATAACATTTTTGGATTTCTGAGACAATTCTAGATCAGAATATGACATTTTCGAAAGTTTTTACGCCTACTTAATTTTGTCGGAGTCACTTTTGAAATTGCAATCGCGAAGTTTTAGTGACAAGTATGATATACCGGGTGAGTCATTGAAATGGGAAAGTGAGATAACGCCTTTGCTGTTTGAGATAGATGAACAAAAATTGTTGTGATGATCTAGGCTCATGAGCAGAACATTTCCAAAATATTTCGCTTTATACAGGGTGACTTGAAAATGCGTGACGTATCAGAGTTAAACTTTTTCTTATGGAACACCCTGTATTTCATTGCATTTTCGGATTCTCCTTTGTGAGCTGATTTCATCAATGCATCACACTTGGATCTACCAAGAATGATTACAGAGATATAGGGTGTGCAAAATCGAGATATTTCAACTTTAGGATTTTTTTGGGTCTAAACTATTCATTATTGGTCAAAACGGCATACATGTCCCTATCTTAACTTTTGATTTACTATCTACTGATATTTAATTTGGACGAATACAGAGTAGTTCAAAATCCAGAATTATGAACCACCCTGTATTCGTTCGAATTAAATATCAGTAGATAGTAAATCAAAAGTTAAGATAGGGACATATATGCCGTTTTGACCAATAATGAATAGTATCGACCCAAAAAAATCCTAAAGCTGAAATATCTCGATTTTGCACACCCTATATCTCTGTAATCATTCTTGCTAGATCCAAGTGTGATGCATTGATAAAATCAGCTCACAAAGGAGAATCCGAAAATGTAATAAAATACAGGGTGTCCCATAATAAAAAGTATAACTTTCATACGCCACGCACATTTGAGTCACCCTGTGTACGCAAAGTAATTTAGAAATATGCTTCTCATGAGCCTAGACCATCACAAAAATTTGTATTCATCTATGTCAAACAGCGAAGTCGTTATCTTACTTTCCCATTTCAATGACTCACCCTGTATATGAATAAGACAAAATGGCAAAATTACAGGTAAAACCGGAAGTGACCAGGGAGTGAAAAATATGTGAAAACTCTCCTCTTCACATACCTTTTACCTATAGCAAATCTCATGTTCATACACCTAATGGTCTAAAAGTTATGACTTGTCTAATAGATTCGTTGACACCCGGTATATTCAAGTAGAAACGATAAAACGTTCAAGGAATTCCGACAACCAATATTTGGGGTAGAATTGATCAAGGGTAAAATATACAGTGTGACCCACTTCTAATGGAAACACCCCTGTATCTTACGTAATCGTTGGGTTAGAGATCCTGAAATTTGCTGGAGCGAGAGATATACCAAAAATGCACTATATGCCCAAGTGGGGTCATCTTCATTGATATACACTGCTCGCCAACAGCCATGAAACCACCCCAATTTCCGGAAAATGATATTAGGAGTCAAAATAGGTTGGAAATCACTTCGGATTCGAAATCAGGACGCCCAATTCACTTACTATTCATAGTTTTCCTAGAAAATTTTCCCCGCTTGGTCATAGAGTGCATTTTTGGTACAGGGTGTCCCATAAACATACCGACAAACTTTAAGGGATCGTAGAGGACATCAAAATAAACATTTTTGTTCGATAAACATAAGTCCGGAAACTCTTCGTTTTCGAGATACAGGGTGTTAAAATTTTTTATTAATATCGTAAAAACGATTTAGTCGAATTTAATGAAATTTTTACAGATTATTGATACATTTATAAGGTATCTTTTGGAGCTATTAGAATTTGCCCAATAATTTGCCCACGGGCTATGTCGGATAGTTTTTGCACAAAAAAATATCGCCCAGTAGATTTTTTGTAATTATGATATTTTTTTTTAAATAAACAACTAAAAATGCAACTTTTTTGTCCATTGAAATTTTTCCGTATCTACCTTCGTTTTGGAGAAAAAAAACATATCTCCTACATCTATGAAAAAAAAATTAAATGCTTCAAAATGGGGAACACCACTGATTTTTTAAAACGACATTATCGTGAACTCTATACTGAAAAATTACCAGTGAATTAATTTTGAATTTTTTCATTCATGCTGAGACGATGAAAAAAATAAATTAGTATATGTCCATTTCAAAACACACAATTCCTGCGCCATTTGAAATTTCATCAATTCATTGGTGTGACTGGTGCGACGTCTTAGTGCCAACACGCCTATTGTCCTTGAACTGTCCAATTACACTGCAACACTGCAGAATGACGAGGTATCAGAGAGAGATAGCTACAGTTCGGGACTAATACGTCACGACTCCACCATCATATTTGGCTGTTTGAAATATCGAATGAAATTTGCTGATTTCAAACCGATATAGATTCGATTCCCTTCAACTTCAACTCATAATATTGATTGTACATAGAATGTAAATCATGGTTCGTCGATTGAAAGAGGTTTGCACGGATTTCTTCCCTCAGTGGTCTTCCCCATTATACCTTACATTCTAGAAATGCGTTTATTGAAATATTGAAAAACTAATAAAACTTCCAATAACTTTTTTTTACTAATCATTAATTATTATTAATGACTTTTAATCATTTTTCGTTTTGTATTTCATTGGAAAATAT